GGAGGACTGTTTCCTGATCCTGGAAGAGTAGACTACAATGCCGGCAGTTCTGACTCAGTCTGTAAGTACGTTTTCATTTAAAGGATTTGCCACTGATGATTCAAACGCGAGTTTTGGGCAGTGTAGAGTAGCACTTGTTTGTCATTTCTCCAATCACAAATGCAGACATGGTTTTATATTTACGCGGCGCGATGCAACGCAACGTGTAAAAAGACAGTATAAGTCATTATAATCAGTAATTATATAAGTGCATTGTATCAAATGATTAATTTAAATGTAAGTGCATAGTAATTAAAAACACTTAATATAAAGTAGGTCCCAACTTTTCAAATCTGAACAGTCTGTCTTACGATTCTAACTTCTTTCTCAGAATTGCATAAATCAAAATTATGAGATACATACTCGCATTTCTGAGAAGTCAGAAATGTGAGATGTAACCTCACAACAGCAGAAAAGAAAGTCAGAATTGTGAGATAAAAAGTCGTTGCTAGGAGACGCGTGACATGTAAGCAATATGTGTTCTAAAATCAACTCAAAATATCAAACATGTTTGATATCTCCAACTGGATGGATTCATAGTCTGAAGCTAAAAAACAAAACAAAATCAGAGTCTGTGTCCATCATACATTACGCGATATTCTGTGAAATCTGGCTCTGACTGTTGGCAACTAACATCAACTAAATCAGTGCAAAAATTTGGGCAAAAGTTGTATAGTATATTCCAGAGATGAACATGAGATTACTTGGGCCCGTTGCTCAGAAGACAAATATGAGAAACAGGAGATTTAATATCTTTGCTCCGTATAGGAGGAACCAAATAAGTATTTATTTACCTGGTTTAAGCGTCATCAGTATTCTTTCCCACAGGATGAATTATCAGTGTCATTGTATGGCACGTGTTTGAGGCACATCTTTTCTCTCAGAAGCAATACATTGGTCATGTCTGACTGAGACACGTTTTTATGTTCATGTAAGACGATGACTTTCTCGTGTCTCGTGTCTCGTGTCTTTCTCACGTTCTGCCCACATGCTGCTCTCTCATATCAGTGCATCTATCAGCAATGCTATTGTTATATTATGCATTTTGCTGACACTTTTATCCAGTGCACACAGTACTGTACATCAAAATATGTGTTCTTTGGCCAATTTTCTGTTACAGTTCATATATCCCAGGGACGCGGGAAGTAGGGGTGCTGAGGGGGCTGCAGCACCCCGTTTTCACATGGTTGCAAATGCAACACCAAGTTTGTTCATTTAAATTTATTCAGTTTTAGCATTTAATAATGTATTTGTAATGATCTCTGAAATGTAAATTGTAAGTGGGCTATAATAAACCCATGTTTATCTTTATAAACATGATTAATTTCCTTTAAACTTTGATGTGCAGCATGTTTGTGCTGTGGAAACGAATCATGCTTCAAATCATGTGACTTTTTGAGTGGATGTGTGCCATTACTTGTTTAAGTGGTTAGTCTTACAATTTTAACATTTTTTTACAACCAGGTGGACAATAAAAGAGACATAAAAACTGCCATTTTGCTTGTAGCACTACTTACAATTTCTTCAGAAAATGTAAAAATCTACATTAATTTCAATAACCTTTATTTTTTATTTGTTCTAAAGAAAAGGTGAGTGGTTCTTGCCCATTCAAAACCAACTGCCACAATGATAGAATGTTGTGGCTACTTGCCATAATGTTGTTATATAGGTTGTTACGATGTTGCTAAATGGTTGCAAGGTTGTTCCTGGTGGTTTTACATGTTATGAGGTATCTTTAGGTGATTGCCAACTGGGTCTGGTTTTCAATGCAAATCTGTGGAAGGTTTTCATCTGATTTGAGGTACCACCATAGCACAGATGGTGCCGGATAAGCTACTGAAGTTTAATATTTATGGTTCAGGGTGTGTTCAAATCCAGTATTGATAACAGTAATGCTTATCTTAGCAAGTGCCACTAAATATGGTGTTATGTAAGAGAATATAATATCCTCTTTTGTGTTGTTTTTCATGAAGTAGATAAAACACAGCTCAGGAACTCTATGTTCGTGATGTGGATTTGTTTCTTTTGTTTGTCATGCCATGTCTTTAAGGTATTTTGCAACTTAAAATGATTAGGTTTCCCATCTGCGTTTCATTTATAAATACATGTGCCATTAGATAGATAGAAAATATGCAGAGTCTCGTGTTGATCTTCATTGCATAGAGAAAGAGAACGTTTCTACATAATCGACTGATAAATGTGTTGTTTGTGACTGTGCATTGGAGACGGAAACCTTTTGTGGTTTTCTTGCAAAGTTCTGACTGTCTTAAGAAACAGAACACTATAGCAAAATTACGCAAATTAATGTCAAATAAATTTAATATCAATCTAAATAATTAATGTGACAACTTTAGCAGCCCTAAAACATGCACATAAAATAAATATATAATAGCAAATAGTGGAAAAAATATATATTGAAAAATATTTAAGAAAACTGAAATGTAAATAAAAAAAAATATTCTCAATATGTAATGCTTCATGCTGTTTATTAAAGGCTGCTATTGCATTGAGGTTCTCAGGCTGTAGGCCGTTCGTAAACATACATATTTTGCTAATTCAATGTAATATATCATCCAAAGGACACATATTTTTTTTTTTTTTTTGCCCAAAGGACACATATGACCTGGGGTTTTTGCCCAAAGGACACATATGACCTGGGGCGGACACTGAACAGTTCAGATTTCTCATCCTAGTTCCGAAGAGGTCCGCCCTGCCCTGTATAAAACACACTGGTCCACTCATTTGGAGGCTTGCTGCTTAGGGGACTTCCTACAAATGCTTAGTGTTGTTCAAGTCATTATGCTACATTAACATAGACATTTTTCTTTTCATTATGATATTACTTACTTTTTGGACATGTAAACATTTGGGCTTCATGACATGCTTTGAATATGAGCCAATTAATGTATGAATGCAAACTTCCTAATACAAAGGAAATGAATGTATAAAATATCACACATTTAGGAATGGTTAACAATTTGATTGAAAAATATATATTTTGCTTTCACGTTTTAAAGATCTTAAAGATACACATACATTTTTATTGAGACAATTGTTATAGGTATTGCTGGAAAACAGTATATAAATGTGGCGAGATGAAAGCAGTGAGAAGAGAATGGCCTGTTGTCTCTGTTGATGACGTCAGAGCTCCATCTTCTTTCATCTGTGCCCTTTGATTGAAGACAAAAAGACGTGAGAACCGGACATTTGTGGGCGGTCCAACTTTGATAATATACACTGAAATGTATATGGCCTATACATCATTCATATCGCATCAAAGACAATATCCTGCAACATTCTCATAAATCTTTTGTCTTTTTTTCACACCATCTCATCACTTGACCATGCTACTACACACACACATGCACATACATGTGTGTGTGTGTGTGTGTGAATCTCAAATTAAAAATCACCAATTACATGTAGTATAATAAATGTAGAATTTTCTTTCAAATATAATTCGATTTTTTTCAGGTGACATTCCGACAGACTTTATTTGTATTCCTAAATGTTTTAAGACAAGTAACAACACACTTTATTATTTATCATATCTGAAGACGATTTGACTGATATGCGCATATGGAGTCCCAAGAGTACAAGTGTCATATTTTATTGTCACAGGCTGTACAGCAATAAACATGTCCACATGTTGACATGATACGCTTTATCTTATGGTGGACACAAAGGCCTCCAGTTTCCAATGCCCTGGGTAAGTCTGTCCCATGAGATTCTGCATCTGTGTGTGATGACACTAAATGTAAACAGTCATAATTTATGTACAATCACTTACAATAAGGTTTTAGGCCACACTTCTTCGGCCTCGATAGATCACTGCAGATATACACAGAAAGAGTCATAAGGAACATGCTTAGGAGAACATGTCATTTTAATTGTTTTAAATGTGTATATTTTAAAAAATATTCATATATAATTGTTATATTAATATATCATATTCATATTTTATTTTAAAAAAAATAGAGGGTTCTAGATGAGTTTCAATTAGAATACACACCCATTCCCACGGTGTTTCCAGAACAGGAGACTGTAAAGACAAGGAAACATGGAAATCAGTCCATATACAGTAAGCCTGTAGTCTCTAGTCTAAACTTTTTTTTTTAAATGATATTGTATGTCATTATACAAAATTAAAATATGATTTCTCTGGACGATAACACAATATCATCTTGTACCTGAGTAGAGTTTTCTGGGGCAGTATGTGACCTTTGAACCCTCCTGTGTTAAGGGAGCGACCATGACGGTGTACACTTCCCCACACAGGATCTTGGAGATGTCACATCCATTAGCCCCATGAGTCGCACTGCAGGTGTAGTTGGATCTGGTGCCATACAGGTCGGCTGTGTAGTTGTACAGGCCGGGAGAAGAGCGCCAGTACACCCGAAGAGTGCTGTTATCCATCCTGTAGAGTCTCATGCTGGATGGACAACACGCGCCTGAGAGAGGTTACAGATAAAGAAAATGAGATGGGACGGTGGAAGGTTCGGAAATTAAGTGCACTTACTCATTCCAAGTCTCTGAACAAATTATTGCATAAATCATTTTTAAAACCATTCTTAAGTATGGTTGAATCCATGCAAGAATAGTTTTACAACTGATTTACACAGACATTTTGCTTGTTTCTTTATTTTCAAATGTCTTATTTTTCAATTGTCATTTATCGTCATTATAAATATAATTTCAGATCAGACATTAAATACACAAAATGTCACATTATCATATATTAGCTTTTTATTTTTTCATACTCAAATCACATGATTATTTTAAGGAAAGCCTTTACTTGACTGTTTAATTTTGTGTTTTGTTTTATTATTAATAATTTCACTTTTTTATTTGTAATTACTCTTCGTTATTTTTACTGTCATATCTTGTTTTTTGTCTTTTTGTTTTCTTATGTAAAGTGCATCGAGAAGCTACCTTTAAAGGTACTATTTATAAAACAAGTATAAATAACATTCATATAAATATTAATATTTATTATTATTATTATTTTAAAGAAAGAGCACAAGCACCTTTTAAGAAAAGAAGTTTGTTGGGTTTTAAAATATAAATCGATAGAAAAAAAAGAAAACCAGTTTGAATTAATAGCATCTAGAGTAAATGTCTATTAACCAGTCATGTGTTTGCATATGTTGCATATGTTGAATTAATTTTTACTTCTTTATATATATATATATATATTATTATTATTTTTTTTTTACTACTTTACTCACTAGCAGAGAAGCCATGGTAACTGCATTCTGATTTATGTCCAGTAATGCTGAAGGCCTCCAGCGACACATTGTAGCTGGTGCCACATGTGATGCATCCCAGCAGGCAGTGGGTGTCCATGGTGTGACATCTGGCGTGACCTCTGGGGGATGTCAAAGAAGTGACATAAGACTGCGCCCCTATGGCAGTCGACCAGGTGATGTTCGTCATAGACTGGGTCACCTGTTCAACACTCAGAGTTTCTGGACAACAGGGTCCTGGAGAGAGAAAGGGGACATTTTTATATCGCTTGATCATTTTCAACCATTATTTATCTATCTATCCAGATGTTTTCCATCTTCATTACTGCACCTGTTTCCAAGGGAATGGAGTAGCTGGGAAGACTCTGTCCTGCTGTGGTTGTGGCGTAGGCGCTGACCTCATATGTGGATCCGCAGGACACACTGATGTAACAGGAAGTGCTGCTGGATGAGCAGGTGAGCGTGTCGGTGAGACCCATGGCGATCACAGTGTAGTTAGCCTCAGCGTTTGAAGCCATCCAGAATACCTCCACTATGGAAGAGTTCACCTGAGTCACGTTGAGGATCACAGGGGCACAGGGAGCTGAGAGAAGAAAAAAAAAGATAATTTCATAAAAACTGATACCATGTTACAGTGATAAGATCACATACTATGACAATACTGTAGTATTTTGAAATACACCATGGAAATGAAACGAATGTTATTAATTATTATAATTATTTTAGGAAAGACTTAACCATTTTCATTTTGTGTTGTTTTATTAATTTCATATTTTTTTCCTACCCATGTTAATATTTTTTATGAATTATTGTTTTTATTTTTTTTTTTATTTATACTTTTTTTTTATATGCTTTATTACTTTTTAAGTCATATCTTGTTTTTCTTTTTGTTTTTTTAAATGTAAAATGCATTGAAAAGCTACCTTTTATATAAAACATATTCATATTTATATAAATATCATTAATGTTTTATTTAATATTAATCAAAATAATATATAATAATATTATTATAACTTTGGGTATCATGTAATTATAATATATGATAACAATTATTATTGTTGTTGTTGTTGTTTTTGTTATTGTATTCACATGTTAGTCAAAGTACTTCCAAAATACCATGGTACTACTATGGTAAATGTACCACAAAACATGGTATTCCATGGTACACTAGTATATTTTTTTGTGTGTGTGTGTGTGTGTTATGTAAAGTGCATTGAGAAGCTACTTTTAAAGGTACTATGTAAAAGTATATTATTAATATTTATATAAATATTATCAATATTTATATAAATATCATTAATATTTATAATAATAATTTAATCATAATTTTATTATAATAATATTATTATAACAGTATTTTGGAAGTATTTTGAGTACCTTGTAAATACAATATTTGATAATAATAATATTAATAATAATTTGTGGGCTCATGTGCAAATGAGCATTTGTGTGTCTGTACCTGTCCGCCGTGTATGTGCACTACAGGTGTTATTGCATCCTTGTGTCTCACTGCAGGGCCGCACCACCACGCTGTACAGGCTGTCGCAGGTGAGATCAGAGAGCGCGCACACAGGAGCCGTGTCGTTGCAGTGGATCCATTCGCTTCCGTCTGCAGCGATCGTCTCATATAACTCAGCTCCTCGAACTGGAGACCACGAGATCTCTAAAGTCTCTGTGGAAATCAGGGACACGGACAAATCCTCTGGACAGCAGGGGACTGAGGACACAGAGAGAGATGCGTATCATATATCGTACCAATATTCTTGTGCAAAATTGTTCAAATCACTTTGGACAGAACCATCTGTTAAATAAATACATGTAAGTCTATGTGTATGAAATACAAACTTGTAGTATAGTTGACTGTTTGACCCGGTGGACTGGACCCTGCCAGGTTGTAAGCGAATACTGTCAAGAGGTATGTGTATCCACATATGCACTGGAAGTAGCAGGTTGTGCCAGTGGTGTTGCAGTTTGTCTCTAAGCCGTCATCTCTCTTCACATAGGCGATATAGTAATCCACCCACTGAACCTCAGACCACGAGACAGAACAGTTCCCTGTAGTCGGCTCCTCAATCCACACCAGCTCAGGAGGACATGGGACTGAAAATGATTCAAAGAAGACGACAACCAACTGCACAACTCTTTATTAATGCGTATGTGTGGTTTTATATGTGTGCGTGTGAGTAAAATCTACAGGTTAGAAGGTCCTGTGGAGCAGAAGGGTCACTGGGTCCGGCCTCGTTCTCCGCTGTGACGGTGATGGTGTGGTTCTGGCTGCAGCTGAGGGGACTGATTATGCAGTAGGCGTCTAACGATGAGCTGCAGTTCTGGCCCATTGAGCTCACAGCAATATATTCGTTGGCACCACGGACTGTCTGCCAATACACCGACAGTTCGATAGAGCGACTCAGCGTCAACAGAACCTGCACAGGTCCCGGGACAGGAGGACCTGTAGAGGACAGTGGGACAGAGAGAAAGTGAAGGAAATTTGTGAATTTAAAGGGAATGGACCTTTTTCACATTTCCAGGTTTCTCAGCAGCGGAAGTCGTCATAGTTGGGTAAACTTCTATAGCAGTGACTGGAAGAAAATCTATTTTTTGCATTCCCATTGGCTCAAATAGCAAAAGTAAAACTCCACGATAGTGTTTTCATGACTTTCAAAAAGAGGAATAAAATAGAGAGAGACTGATAACGGCAGTCAGAAGAGAGAACAATGTCAAATTTACCATCACTCCCGGCATAGACGCTGTATTAGAAACATTCTCACATTAGCGTTAAGTAGTTTTTTTGTAATTTTATGCAAAGGTAATATAATACAAGTATAGTGTTTGTGATGAGTGGGGCGGGGCAGAGAGCCGTGGGAACGGAGCGAGGCCGGTGGAGTAAATGATAATGAGCGACACCTGCGCCACTCACCGGTCTCGAGTCCCATTGACTTCCATAGTTTGGACAAAAATACTCTGAAGGCAATGGGACACGAAACTGGTTACCAAAATTCTTCAAAATATCTTCTTTTGTGTTCCACAGAAGAAAGGAAGTCATACGGATTTGGAACGACATGAGGGTGAGAAAATGGTAACAGAATTTTCATTTTGGGTGGACTATCTCTTTAAGGTTTGATTCATAATTAGTAATAATTTTACAAAATTATGCACTGATTATCTAGTACACAGAGTCAGGCAAAACACTTCACAGAATGAGAGAATTTGTAATGCTGAACATGGGGGCCCCGCCTTTTTCAATTAAAAGAGCCAAGTGGTTTTTTGAGAAATGCATTGTGTGAACACATTCTGTTCAAAATACTATAACCGAGTAAGTCCTTACGTGTGATTTGGTAGATGGTGATGTCATCTCCTTGGTTACCATCAGGATCCCAGGCATTGCCCTCGATGCTGTAGGTGGTGCCAGGCTGAAGGTCAGTGAAGGTCACGTTGGTCTGAGTCGTGTTTAGTCTGACCCGCATGTCTGAACCCACCATGGTCATGACCAGGCTGTATAGCACAGCATGGTCCACTGGATCCCACTCTATCACAATGGTGTCACTGCTGGGGGAGCTGGAAAGCAGATCTGGGGCAACCAACACTGCAAAGAGATAAAAAAAAATTATTTTAATAACTTAGTTTTATTAGCATAATAAAAGACAGAAGGAAAAGAAAGAGTTGACAAAGAGTTGATGTTTTGCTGGACATTGTAGTCGGGGGAGCTGTGGCGCTGATCAAACGCTTCAGGATGCGCAGACGGGGGAAGCGAGCCGGCGCGCTCGTGAAGCTCAGACAGCGCGGATTCAGAACGCCGTTGCATACATAATGAACATAATGTCTTTATGTCAGAACATAATGTCTTGTATAAACAGGCTAAATACACACTGGAAAAGGAGATCAGAGTGGCAAAGAGGAATTATTCGGAAAAAATAAGGACTCAGTTCACTTCCAGCGACTCGGCAGCAAGAGCATCACCACAGGCAAAGACTAAGCAATTACTGCCCCTAGTGGTGAATTTCGATCATTACAACTGAAAAAAAAATCCTGTCCAAATTAAATGGATAGTCCATCCAAATATGAAAATTGTGTTATCATTTAGTCACCTTCATTTCATTCCAAACCTGTATGAGTTTGTTTCTTTTGTGGAACACAAAGGAAGATATTTTGAAGAATGTTGGTAACCAAACAACTCTGGGTCCCATTGACTCCCATAGTATTTTTTGTCCATACTATGGAAGTCAATGGGACTTGAAACCATTTTGGTAGCATTCTTGAAAATGTCTTCTTTTGTGTTCCACAGAAGAAAGAAACTCATACAGGTTTGGAACGACATAAGAGTGAGTAAATAATTACAGCATTTCTATTTTTGGGTGGACTATCCCCTTAATACACTATGTTATGGGGAAAATGATTTATTGTGAGATGTGGCAGTGCTTATCTTTAGATATACTATGATTAGCTTTAAATTTAAAGTAGTATAATGTCTGATAGGGACAGATGTAGGATCTGATGGATGGAAATAACGTACAGCGAGTCTGTTGAGTGAAATGAGATAAGTGTAAGTTATGTTATAAATGAAACTTCATGAAACCCGTCCCTTTATGTTACGTCAAAGCCATTCATTGGGGAGAGGTGACAGCCTAGTTCTCATGGTTTTATCTTTTCATTCAGTTTTGGGTATACAGTCCAGCTAAAGGTGCAGTTACCGTCAACAGTCGGTTGAGCCAGAGTTACTAACTCTGCATAATAGCTGGAGTAAACAATACTGTGTTATTGTTACAGATTTTAAATACCAGCTCATTGTCAACCAAACAGGGAATAGTGCTCAAGTTTCTTTCTGTTCTATGGTGTGTGATCTTTAGTAAATGAGCTTTATATAAAAATGTCTGTCTTGGTTGGAAGGCTACAAGGTACACTTTTATTTGAGCTTTATAGTGTTATGCCGTGGATTTGAGGGCTACACTTTCCATAATCCATATTAAATCAGTAAAGTATTTTAAACTGTTTTTTTGACTGAAACTGATTAATAACCGCAGATTAGCACAATTGTTTTGAATGATATATGTATTGAACTAACATCTAAAACTAGTTTGATTTTATAAGTTTGAGTTGGCCACCATGCTAGTCTAGTTTGGTTTAATGATTTTATAGGGGGTTTTGGGTTTGTTGTCTCCGTTGATCAGGCTGGCAGACCAGCTAGTTGGGCAGGTAACCAGCTGACTACGTTTTTTTTTTCTGTCACAAACAGCAGGGATGTGACCGTTTTTTTAAAAGAAGAAGAAGAAAGAAAGAAGTATAAAATAGCCAAAGTATTAATTGAAAGGCATTTTTAAATCAAGCAGAAGGTGTTTTATTGAAAGTCTGTAGTCAGTTTACCTGTCCTAGCGTTCACGGGTAGGGAAGGCTGACTCCTTCCCCCAGTGTTGACGGACATCACGCTGAGTGTGAATTGGGTGTAAGGCAGCAGACCGACCACTGTCCCGGGGGAAGTGTCCACCAGGCTTTCAGAGAAGAACCCATCCTCGTTCTCTGCCCGGATGATGTAGCTGGTGGCACCAGACACCACACCGAACTCCACTGTGATGCTGTCACTGTGTTTGGAGTAAGCCTGGTAAATGAGGGGAACCTTAGGAGCTGATGGCACACAATACAAAAACATCATAATAATTATAATAATAATCAATGAAATTACAATACATAAATAACCAATAGCTAAATTTCTAGAAATTTTTTTTTAAATTAATTATTAATTTTGTAACAATGGTCGCTGAAAGCATTGTTTTTTTTAAATAATAATAATGACAATAATAATTAATCATTTACTTTGTATAGACAAACAAACACACATACAAATAAATGCATAAATAAATAGATTGTAAATGGCCTTTCGTAAAGGTTGTGGCTCAAAGTGTTTTTTACATTTGGTTTCCACAGTCTTGAATATGTTACATTACATCCTGTAGATAAATTAGTAAATCAAGACTGCAGTTCAACGTTGTAAGGTACGTAATACTTAATTAGTCGTTTAATTTGTTAATCGTTTATTTATTTAATAAATTAAAAAAAAAAAGATATACATATGAATTAATCATATTTATTATATAATATCGTTACTATTCAACCATTAAATTAAATTTAAAAAATCTAATAAAATTAATACTTAAATTATTATTATTAGATTTACTTTAGTTCCTTTAAAATTATTGGATTGAACTTTTCTTTTATAATTAATCACGGCAGCTTGTCCAACGACACAAAAGTCAGTCTACCTGTCGTCTCCTCCGTTTCGGCGCTGCTGAGCACGTTCACCGCGCTGTCCATGGCTTCGACCCGCATCCTGTACACAGTGTTCGGTAACAACGAGTTAACGGAGCCCATCACCGTGCTGCCGCTGAACTGCGCGAAAACCGACAGCTCTGGGGAGTTTTTCGGCGTGGCGGTGATTTTGTACGAGCTCGGGCCGGTATGTCCGCTCCAACGGACCGTCATACTTTTGGAGGTGACGGTGAACACGGATAACGTGATGTCTGCAGAGAGAGAAGCGGTTAGCATAATAATTATAATACTGTTAAAATTCATTGATAGGCTACTACAAGAGGAAAACACAACCGGGTCATTCCTTAAAGTGGTCGCCTTGTCAATTTTGAGTTATATATATATACAGTGGGTACGGAAAGTATTCAGACCCCCTTAAATTTTTCACTCTTTGTTATATTGCAGCCATTTGCTAAAATCATTTAAGTTAAATTTTTTTCCTCATTAATGTACACACGATGCGTACCTGTGCTGTCCTTCAGCGCTGATAGGTCCAGTCTTCCTCTGTGACAGAGGGAGGGGGTACATGTGAACGCTCAGGACTCCCAGAACAATAAAACACCTGTTGGACGGTAATAGAGAGGAAAAAACAGAACTTAAGCCTCAGCCATTACCCTGCAGAAATAGAGAGTCAAATCAGAAGAAGGAAGTGTGCCCTAAAGGCAGCTGATCAGCACCAAATTTGAGTCATGGAGGCGAAATATTTACATCTTTCTAATATCATCTTTTTGATTATTACCGTGCCACAGGTAAGAATTAAAATGTGGCTTTCTGTATGCATGCGATAAATTACTGTGTGGGTAAACTTGCCTATACTTGCTGGAATAGAGTTTAAAAATGCATTGGAATTCTTAAACAGTACTGTAAAAACAGATAGTTTGTCATGCATAAAACAATAGTCCTTTTTATTATACTACTGTCATGCGTACACTTTCATGTCGGATATGAGGAAAAATAGCTCTGGATCTAAAATCTGTGCTGATTGATGCTCAAATAAGCTTCCTTGGCCACTAATGGCACATAATACCATATGACAGAGTAATAGTTGGCCATGAAATAAGCAGAGAATGGATGCTTTCTAACATGTTTCATATATTTTAAAAATGATTTGTTGCATTTCTGCTCTTAATTTACAGATATGCAAAGCACAAAATGGTAGGAGATCTTTAATATTTATATTTAATATTTGGGTCATTCCATGAAATGGGTGCATTTTGTCTCCCTTGTAAACTGTAAAAGATGACTTTAACCTGATAACCTAATAATACATATATATATATATATATATATATATATATGTATTATTAGGTTATCAGGTTAAAGTCATCTTTTACAGTTTACAAGGGAGACAAAATGCACCCATTTCATGGAATGACCCAAATATTAAATATAAATATTAAAGATCTCCTACCATTTTGTGCTTTGCATATCTGTAAATTAAGAGCAGAAATGCAACAAATCATTTTTAAAATATATGAAACATGTTAGAAAGCATCCATTCTCTGCTTATTTCATGGCCAACTATTACTCTGTCATATGGTATTATGTGCCATTAGTGGCCAAGGAAGCTTATTTGAGCATCAATCAGCACAGATTTTAGATCCAGAGCTATTTTTCCTCATATCCGACATGAAAGTGTACGCATGACAGTAGTATAATAAAAAGGACTATTGTTTTATGCATGACAAACTATCTGTTTTTACAGTACTGTTTAAGAATTCCAATGCATTTTTAAACTCTATTCCAGCAAGTATAGGCAAGTTTACCCACACAGTAATTTATCGCATGCATACAGAAAGCCACATTTTAATTCTTACCTGTGGCACGGTAATAATCAAAAAGATGATATTAGAAAGATGTAAATATTTCGCCTCCATGACTCAAATTTGGTGCTGATCAGCTGCCTTTAGGGCACACTTCCTTCTTCTGATTTGACTCTCTATTTCTGCAGGGTAATGGCTGAGGCTTAAGTTCTGTTTTTTCCTCTCTATTACCGTCCAACAGGTGTTTTATTGTTCTGGGAGTCCTGAGCGTTCACATGTACCCCCTCCCTCTGTCACAGAGGAAGACTGGACCTATCAGCGCTGAAGGACAGCACAGGTACGCATCAATACACTTGAAGATAGACACAAAGATGCACTCTGCCAAATAATGGGCTGTTCAGGATTGTTTGTTCTATTGTCTGTCAAATACACAAGATATTGAATGTTCCATTTAAAAAATAAACTTAAATAAGATAATACTTCTGAATTAAAAAGTATCAATGTCATTAATCCACATTATGAGCCAAGAGAGTGTACTACAAATCTAAAGAGGCATTTATCATGTTACATACTTGTATGACAACTCATTTTTATTGCTGAGCGGTTGCGGTTTCATACACTGAAAAATGGTGTCGAAATCATGGTCATTTTTCTGTATCATGAAAAATGACCAAAACTGACTACGGAGCTCTGCTGTTATATAGCCAGTGCTTAGGGAATTCGGTTGAAACCCTCAGTCGAAAAGACTTTTATAGTACACTACCACTCAAAAGGTTTGGGTCAGTAAGATTTTATTTTTGTTTTTTAAGTTATTAATACAGCAAATATTCATAAACTTGATCAAAAGTGACAGGTAATACATTTAGTGTTACAAAAGATTTGTATTTTAAATGCTGTTCTTTAGAACTGTTCTTTTGAATGTTTCTGGAGCAGCAAATCAGCATATTAGAATGATGATTAGAATCCGCATATTAGTGATGTAGAATGATTAGTAATGATGCTGAATATTCAGCTTTGAATCACAGGAATAAATTACATTTTAAAATAAATTAAAAGAGGAAACATTTTTTTACAATTTTCACAATATTCAAATAAATGCAGCATTGGTAAGCATAGGAGACTTCTTTCAAACACATTAAAAGACTCCAAACGTTTGAATGGTAGTTAGATTTTTTTTTCTTTTATTTAAATAATTGAAAAGGCATCACTTTGGGAAAGAACAGACGCTAGAAAAAACCTCAGTATGAATGAAAAAGCCACGCTGGCACAGACTGGTACTCATAAGCCAGATCTGATAATGAGATTCAGGTTCAGCAGCTACAGTATCATGGTGCCGCATGAACATTTTTGTGTAATCAGAAGTAAACAGGTCAGAGCAAACAGAAGTGTGTTATGGTGCATTTTAGTTAATGTTTAAAAACACCGGAATACATTTTGAGTTTGTATTACGTTTTTACAAAGGCAAAAAGTCAGTATGTAAAAAAGAATAGCTTATCGATTTTATTTTGTTTGGGAGTGGGGGCTGGGGGCTGGGGGCTGACAATTCAAAATCTCACCCTGTAAATCACTTATCTGGGTCACTGATAGGTTGCGTTTGCCTCAGTATTGTTGGGTTTTCAATAGAGAACAGAGCATCAGAGTTGTAGCATATTCATAGGAGTCATGAGAGAAGGACATCTGATATGTGCATTTGACCTTTTCATTTTAAGTGTCTCTAAAGTTACTGTATTTTACACTGAAATTGCTATAGGAGATTGTTTACAGTGTAACTCTCCCAGTCAGATGCATTATACAAGAATCACACCTGTGATGTTGTCTGCATTGTAGAGAAGCATTATGTAATATATTTATTAAAAGTAGCATGCTTACAACATGCAAAACAAATCTGAAACTTATATATATATATATATATATATATAGCCATTTCTCTTTCATATTATTAAAAGTTGATATTTTTGTACTTTATTTTAATGACTAATGTTGTACCATATGTTACTTTTGAATACTAAATATTTACAGGCAAAACCATTTTCATAACCATTCTGATGGCTATTTTACGGTAGCCGAGAGAGCTCAACGCACTGCAAATGAAAAAACAGATGCAAATAGAAAAAACGCCAGCAAATTAAGAAAACATCTTCATCAATTTGACAACACACGCACTGCAAATTCTCACAACACAACCAAAGACAGAAACGCGCTGAAAATTCTCACAACACAAACAAAGAAACTCGCTGCAAATACAAAACAAACAAACAAAAACAGAAACGTGCTGCAAATATGCACAGACCACATCGGAAGTGTTTAAGGGAAGCGCGTTTCTTTGTTTGTGTTGTGAGTATTTGCAGCATGTTTCTGTATTTGTTTGTGTTGTGAGAATTTGCAGCGCATTTCTGTATTTGTGTTGTGATAATTTGCAGCGCGTTTCTGTATTTGTTTGTGATAATTTGCAGCGCGTTTCTGTATTTGTTTGTGTTGTGAGAATTTGCAGCGCGTTTCTGTATTTGTTTGTGTTGTGAGAATTTGCAGTGCATTTCTGTATTTGTTTGTGTTGTGAGAATTTGCAGCACGTTTCTGTATTTGGTTGTGTGAGAATTTGCAGCACGTTTCTGTCTTTGGTTGTGTTGTGAGAATTTGCAGTGCGTGTGTTGTCAAATTGATGAAGATGTTTTCTTAATTTGCTGGTGTTTTTTCTATTTGCATGTAGGCCTGTCGCACTAATCAATATATCGACTTATCGAGCAATATATGTACATGACCGCATTAATTTTTGGTGATGGGCATAAAATGGTCTTTAAAATGACAATAATATCGCTTATCGCAATTATTTCTGGGGCAATATATCGCATAACAAAAAGTTGTTATCGTGACAGGCCTATTTGCATGTTTTTTTTTTCATTCGCAGCGCGTTGAGCTCTCTCAGCCACCGTACTATTTTACTTCTATAACATGTCTTTTTTTCAGACTAGTGGAGTGGGTATGAGTGGTTATGAACAAATGAATGAAACGCATTTGTCTGTGTTTCACTCCGTCTTAAGGCTGATTTATACTTCTGCGTCGGACCTACACCGTAGCCTTTACGCCGTAGGCTATGCATCGCGCTCGCGGAAAGCGCTTGAGAAACTGTCTCTTCTGCGGCTCGGTACGCGTTTATTTTTAGTTTCGCGCAAGACTGTACGACATTCACATTACATGATTTGACATTTTTACATAGAAAGGGCGACAGCGCACCGCATTAAAAGAAATGATCATGCATGTTTTCATAACCGCTGGCCAAATTAAAAAACGAAACCAAAATTAAATCATCTTTGAGAGCAAGGGGGCCCCCTGGTATTTCGGGGGCCCTACGCAGCTTGCGAATGCGCTGCTGTCCTGAGACCGCTGTGATGTAAGGGTTCTGCGGTTCTGCAGCTGGATGTATCTCGGACGATCGGCTTTGGCTGCGACTGACAAGTTTACACGTCTCTTCCATCTTTTTGTGATAGATTTCTCTTTCTCTCGTTCTTGCTGTCACAGTGAGAATCACTCTGCGGAAACAGTTTACATCAGGTTACACACAGGCAGATTAATGTAACAAATTTGTAATGTATCCTCAGGTGAAGATTAGTCTGAGGTTTTCTTTTTTTCTTTATTTTTTTTTTCTAATTTCCAGACAAATATGTGTATCAGTCAGCTTTTCAGCTCTGATGCCTTTGAAATGACCGTAAATATATATTATGTCTACTAGGTTGTTGGCTAAAAAGTTAACAAAAATGACTGATGCTAATGGTTATAAATAGAAATAAATAAATTGTTAAATTTTGTAAATTGTAAGATTGTAAATCTTTAAACATTGTAATTTCGTTGATCAATATTATATTATATAATATGTGATATAATACACTATTGTTCAGAAGTTTGGGGTTGATAAGAGTTTGTAATGCTTTGAAAGCCAAGGCTTATTTTATTGGAGTAAAACAGTAATATTGTCAAATAATTAATTTAAAGTAAACAGTTTTTTTATTTTAATATTTTTAAAATGTACTTTATTTCTGTGATGGTAAAAGCTGAACTTTCACTTTTTACTTCTTTTATATGTAAATGTGAAAACTGTCCAGTGAGGTTTGAGATACAGTGGATTAATATGATTAATGTTGATGTGTTACAGTTGTAACATTATTTTTTTTCATTAAATTCCAATCAAAAATATAATCTAGTATTTAATAGTTACTGTATATTACTAGTTATTAATATTTACTGTAATAGTACTGTTACTTTCGGTGGTTTATGAGTTGGAGGAAAAAAATGAAAAAAGTTTTAAAAATTCAAATATAATGTTGCCTCCAGTCTCCCCTAGTCTCATCCTTACACAGACATTACGTTGCAGTCTGGCTCTACATTACATAGTGACAGGTGTTTGCAGTCAGCAGAGCGGGATATTTATTCTACACCAACAAGAGTGCGTAAGCTGCTTTACATTGACAATAGCAATGACCAGAGGCTTACCACACACGCACAAGTTATTGGCAGAAACTTGAGCGTCGTTGGTTTTGTCTGTGACAGTGGATAATGCCGCTGGAGTTTCAAGTGAGACATTCAGCTGAGAGGAAAAAAGTGATAGTCTTATGAAGCTGAGGGAAGTTGTATTGGAATTTAACACTGAAAAGCCCTAGTTTCAGTAAAACTCAAATTTTCCTTATAACATTATGGTATGTGATGACAGAAGTCAAATCCAACAAGGAAATCCATAGGTGTTTTATGATACATTATACTAGAGACAGGTATTCTTGGATTGTGCTAATCTGGTCATTATAATTGCATCACACTTACATTATTGTAAGTATTGTGTCATAATGGCTACATTAAGAGGCTCTATTCTGCCCCTTATTGGTCATGATCATTATTACAAATATTACAAAAGACAAACTTTCAGGTCAGCTTTTTTTATTTGACGATAATGCAAAACCCCAAACACTTTTAAACAGATGTGTAAAATCAGATTCATGAAATGGTTTAGAGTATACTTCATTGTATTGTCCTAGAGAGAGTATATTACAGTACAGCTAACTGCCCGCTCTGCTGCTGAGAGGATGTAGGCCCAATACCTTCCTCTGGAGCTGAGCCTTGGCCAGGTCAGCAGAGAGAGCGTCCGCCATCCTGTCCGTGGTCTGCTTCATCAGAAAAGCTGCCTGCAAGGCCTTGTCCAATGTCTTATG